TTTTTTCTGTTAAAAATTCTTTTATTTCAGTTATTTATATTAATTAAAAATGGTTGTAAATTTTTTAAAGTTGCTTTGTTGTCAATTTAATTATATATCGGCAAAAAACATTTTCAATAGAGTAGTTATTAAAATGTTATACTCAGAGCACATTTGACAGTGGTAGTAAAAACGTGGGGGGGGCCAAAATTAAAATAAAATATAACTTAAACTAATATATTTCGCGTCTAAAGTATTTTATTTAAATAGTTAATACTAATTATTATATAGATAATGTCTGCATATACTGAAATTGTTGGTATATAAAAGTAAAATGAAACCAACTTAACACTACCATTTTATTTAGAACCCTAACTTCATCAACTTTCGCCAGAGGATTACGTGAAATTACTGCGCCCAGCTCTCCAGCTACGGCTAATGTCGAAACAATGCACGAATCTGGACAGATAGATCCGAGTGGCTCCGAAGATAAACGACAATCGTACAGCGTTGTAACAACTGATTGATATACGGCCAGCGATGATATCGCACCTATAGTTAAGCCGAAATTCCGACCCGCCTCAGTTCCACTTGGACTGCCGCTGACAGTAAACGATGTTTAGTTAGTAATGCAAACGCTTAAGACTTTACGAGATATCGACGTTGAATTGTTTGACATTCATAGTGTTGCCGTTGACCGGTCGATATCGAATTTGTAGCTGAATACATCATGTCAAAACTGAGGCCGGGATTATATTATACCCAATATTATTACTAGATGTGCCCGCGACTTCGTCCGCATGGAACAGTTATTTAGAGATTTTTTCGCAGACAACCCCTTTAGGCTTTTTTAATTATAGCTGTTATGAAATCGACCGTGTCCCGTCTTTCTTGTAAGTATTTAAAAGAAAACCTTTTCCTTTCGCAGACATTTTGTTTAGATTATGAAAAGAAGAATCATGTTCCGTCTGCGTGTTTCCACTATTCCTTCTATTTCTTCGATACTATTAGTCGCAGCCTGATCTTTTATAGCTCAAAGCCTTCCTAGATAAATTGTTCAATCGACACAAAATTATTTTTTCATAAGTTACTGAAATTATTGCCTTCTACCAAACAAAGAAACAAACTCTTCAGCTTTATAATATTAGTACAGCAAAGGACACTTGATAGAAGTTGACTTTCATTTTAAAAAAGACATCAAATATTTTTCATCCAGTGCATTTCAATTGTAAACTATTAAGAATATATAACAGATTATAAGCGTTGAATTGATTAGACGGCTTCAGATAATATTAGTATATCTTTACTATGGTATATCGTATGTATTCGGAAACTTTCACGACTACTGATTGGTACAAGCAAAGTTAGGCATGCTATGGTAGTATAAACAATTGAACAAGTTTAGAGGAAGGAAAGCAACACACTCTTGCATGTAAGTTGTTGGTAGTGGTCAGCTTGCACACAAGATCGACTAAGCAATACCGAATCAAGCATATAGCGGAAGTTAGGTTACGGCGTGAAAGGTTAAGCGCACTTACATGACTTAGTTATATTGCTTACAAAACTTATTAAGTTTCTTTTAAATAAAACACTTTAAGGGGGGGGGGGGTGGCCAACGGTGCGGTTTAAAACGCGAAAGTGTTTATTTAATGTGTAAACTCGCGTAAACTATAGAGATTGAAGTTTATTTTTAACTTCAAACCTATGTAAATTGGTATATAAATGGTTTTCGCATGATCATAAGTACATTGCCGGTTGGTATCACGTTGAAAATTTTTGAGATGACCTGTAAGACAGGCAGCTCAATTATTAGGCTGCAAGTAGCAGTCCGAGGGGGGGGGGGGGGGGGTTTTTTTTTCAACAAATCGTTTATTTGAATCTCTAAGCTTCTCTCACTCAAAAATAGCTGTATAATATTACAGGGTTAAAATGATCTTAAGCCTAATAAAAGATATAAAATAAAAAATATTTTTCTTTAACGGTGTATTTGCCTCTGTGTCAAAAAATAAAGGAGCTTTTTACCCCTCTCTGAGGAACGATTAAGAATCGCGATTTTAAATCTTCACTTTCATCCCACGGAAGTCGCTCTTAACAGGTACATTACAAATATGATTTTCCGCGTTAAAAATTAAAAAAGAATAATAAAATTGTGGCGGATAAAGGGATTCAGTTATTTTTCCTTCGTTTGTGAATCTAAAAATAATATTCGCGGGAGAGATATTTTATTTAACATCTCGGTTGAAATTCCTGTGAATAAAGTCTGCTTAACATTAAATATAAGGTCGTTTTACGAAGCCGGATAGACAGATAAAGATGGCATACATTTTTATGAGCTGGCTAAAGGAATCCGAAACGAAATTGTGGATCCAATGTGTTTCTATCGACAGGGCAAACATCGACAGAGCAGCGCGAGGATAAAATGACTTGTACTTTAAATCGCGGTTATATTAGTACGAGTAAAATTATAATAAAATCGGCATTAGAAAACAACAATTCCCTCAATGACTGTAGGCTTTAGAGATTACACCGGTCGTTCGGCTAATTAATTTTAAGTCGGCATCTTGATGCCGCCTGGTGGCTTTTGCTTTTCGACCGAATTTGAATACGATTTGCATATTAATATTGTGTTCGGTGTTCTCGATATTGAATAAAGTTGGAATGAACTATCGAGAATACCTATGCGAAGGTAACACTGCTTACGCACAGACTGGTTTTTTAATAATTGGATTATAAGTGTCTAGAATTAAATGGACTTGGTATTATAGATATGGAAGGATAACTTTCCTAAAAAAATCGCAAGAAGTTAATCCTTTTATTGTGGTAGAGGACAGATAAGCTTGGGGTTTGATCGATGGAATGTGAAATACTCCAGCCATAATATTATAACATCTAAACACTTTTAGCTCTTTTAACATGTTTGGCTACGGATATTTCACAATTTTTTCACTAAAATAACTTATCCCTTAATCAAATATATTATTTGGCAGTTATTTTTTGTAAAAGTGTATGTTTTTGTAAGCTACGTAAAGTAAAGTATCCACAGTCTAAATATCTCATAGATTCTTATTAAAACTATTTACATGAGATCTACTTCAGTATCACGTACAGCTCCATTCACGCGTCCACGAACGTTTTGTTACCATATAAAATTTGCTCAACCTTTTCGGTTATAAATCCGACGCTACCTAAATCCTGGAAGGGCACTGTCGAGCAGCTTTCATCAGAAAATTCTCCATTATCTGAAGGAAATCGTTACCGGGGTAGGCTCGCCCGCCCGTCGGCCCCGACCCGAGAGCCTTTCATTTACAGCGTTGCGTGCACGCGTACCGCGGCCTTTGCTTCAGGTGGGCGTTCCATTGTGCTCTGTATTTAAGTGGCTCATTTGATATTCAGAGACAGTTTGCATTCGGAAAGCTCGCATATGGGGAGAGTCACGGCATCGATGCATAGAAGTCACGGAACACGCGCCGCCGGCACATGCGCATATTCAAAAATTTCATGCCCAATGCTACGACGCCCGATACCTGCCCGATGTTTACCCACAAATACACTAATGAAGGTACCTACGACAGCGACTAGATTGTTAATTAAACTTGCTCAAAATGTGACACCCTTACGAAATGATGCCAAGCCGAGAGCAGTGTACGGTTTAAATTGAATTAATTCGTAATCAAAATTCCCGCTGTGCGTTCTTCGTATATCCAATAATGGTATTAATTTATTTATCTCAACAGAAAATTACGCTAAACCTGATATGATATTACACGTTTTGATAGTTCCCATCAAGCGAGTTATCTCAATTTTGCGGGGTTTTGCTGTGTTAAGTGTAATATTATAACGAGTAGATCGTTCGTTCTACTTAGTTCTTCACATACACACATTTACATGTTCGGTGATACTGCGTAACTCTTAGTAGTGTATTAATTCGTTATTAACCATACTATGAATATGTAACATAAAAGTAAACAAAAATCGTTTACAACAATCCCAAAAAGCATTGTAAATTTCACGTAGCAATTAATAAACAAAGGTTACGGTCGCTTCACATAATTAGAGTAATTCTGCTTGTCCAAGTACGACGTAGACACACAAAAGTAATTGAAAGGACGCCATCATTAGGCCGCCGACCAAAAGAAATAACCATTCCCTTAATCATTATTCTTAAAGACTCTTCATTAAATTCCTTTTATCTCTCCCGGGATATTTCCTTCGCTCGGCATCAATCACATTCACTCCGAAAAACTGCTTGGCTTTATTCTAAACTCTAATAATAGGTAATGAAGGTTTTGATCGTCGCGGATGGCTGGCTTCGGCCGATTACTTTGAGAGCCGCTACAATGACTGCCGCCTGTAGCCAATGTTGGGTTTGAAAAGTCTATAGTCCACGCTAGATTCCGGGCTAATTACGGAAAACTTTTGTAGATAGACACCTGCTCTGAAACGCGGCAGCCAGACAATGACTTCAGTTATCGCAGACTTACAGTCGTATACCGCGACTCGTGCTAAAATAGTGTCTACGGCTAGGAACTTAGAGGCGGCTTTCCCGCGAAAAGTAAATATATAGATTGGTGCTTAAACGAATAGTATTTAATATCGATCGCGAAGGAATTGCTGGCTCATTGAAAACTTTGATTATACTATAGTAGCTGTGCCTCATTATTTGTTACGTTACTCTATAATGACTTCGGTAAATTATTAATTGAGTTACGACTTTATATGATAAAATTGTAGGTTTAGCTTTTTCATATTTTTTTAGGGTAAGGCAGTTGTATTTTCATTTTGAATTAATTACAAGCTATTAATAAATATTTTTAGCTATTTATATGACGTACATTAATAATTACAATCATTTTAACTCCACACAATAATGTATTATTTGTAGAAATATTAAGGTGAAGTTAAGTATTGAATTGTTCCAACCGTTAAGTTTGTTATTAAAAAAAACATTACACTTACTTCAATATTTCTAATAGGTAATATTATTTCATAGCTGTTAAATATTAATATTGAAAAGCACTTACCGGTCCAAACTGTTCAAAATAATTCTTGACATCCTCCAGCGTTGTGGGTGCTGAAAGCCCTCCTACGAAGATTTTCTTTGTCCTGGTCACCATCTGTAAATAAGGAAGTAAATTTGTAGTACAACAATATAAAATAAAAAATCTATTTATGTTGAAGTTACATGCGCATGAGCATGAAAATCGAATCGAATGACGTATGCCATGCGAGATAAATTGCCGCCCGTGTAAATGTATGCTTTATTGAATGAATGTTAAATACAGTTTACGGTAAAATATAAAATAGTTATATGTTTGTATGTATAGCTCATCATATAGGTAAATGAAAATAGCTGTCAAAACCTAAGAGTAATTACGGTGTATATTTTATGCAATCTACCCACGCAGGTTAGCAGGGGATATTCAGCAAGAACCCGTAATGCCGACAAAATTGCTTTCCAAGATAACCGTGGTCGTAGATTTCCGTCATCCTAGTTTTAAACTCTATAAATATTTGTGTACTACGAAACTAGACTTTCGCTACGAAATGCAGCTCGTTCTTTGTAAATGTTTTTATTTAAATTTATTCTGAAACTCTCCATTTATTGAGCACGAGACATCTAATATGTTAGTGAGATCGACTGTTGTGTATTTTATTTACCCGGCGCTGTAATTTTCTTTAAAACCTTATTATATATTAAAAAAAGCTCTAGACAGGCTCTAGATAAATTCGTATCGTTAAGAGTTAAATTTTTATTCTCATGTAGATATAAATGACTTTATTTACTTTTAAATAAATAGGAGAACAATGTACATGCGTTTATACCCTCTTACAAAGTTACACGAATTTTGTTTAATGCATATTTTATCAATCATAGCGTAGTCGTTTAGGGGGATTTCATTATAATGTCAATATTGCGACGCGGTCTCAAAGGCCGTGCTTGTTTTCTTCTTGAATATTTATGCGAACGGAGGAAAGCAAACCACTCTGTAACAATAGCTATAGAAACCTCGCTTCCTATTACTAATGAAGCAAATGACATCATGAATTAAAAAAAACTATTATATTTAGATTGAAAAAAAATACTACATGGGCGGGATTCGCAGCGTTTCGTGCTGGTTTAACCGATTGAGCTACCGTGGGCATCGTCGAATTTCTACCCATCCGTTGATACATGTATATCTTGCGCAATTTTATTCAGTTCAAGTCCCAGCCCTGTCATCAATCGATTCGATTTTTTATTTTTAACGTGAAAAATATTAATGTTTTCAAAAGAGTAACAACATCTTAAACTCAATATTGCTAAGTTAACTTATTTCAACTGTCTAAATGACTGTTTAATTTGCGATTTATTTTATTTATATATATTTATTTACATAATATCTCTAAAATATCATTTATTAAGTTAAAAAGATGGCATTATTTTCATTCCCCAACATCTACGTGTTGTTGTTGCAACTCGCTTAAACTCTCTACCCCAAGTTTACTGAGAATTATATTTTTTAATCATGTTATATATTTTTTAATGGAAACAAATTAGTCGAAGAAGAGACCAGCTCACAGTATATTTTTTGGTACTATTCGAGTCCTATTAATATTTAAGAAATGTAATGCTATATAAGGCATTGTTACCCATTTAATTTTAATTACTATAAATGTTTTAATTACAGCGATACAAGTACTTGGGCGATTCCACTAGAGAATAAGTAGAGTCCAATTTATTTACCTTTATTGTGGCGATAAACTTACTCGTCCACACCTATTTTCAGACCTATTGTTATGAATAGACATTCGCTCTTTTGTAGTATAAATAAATTGGTACTTAATTTTCAAAACATTTATTTTCTTTTCATGGTTTTATATAGCTAAGTACTATAGAACTATTTAGAAAAAAATTTGACGATTATTAAGTTGGTTTTTAAATACTGTCAATAGTACACAATTAAGTAAAACACTTTAACGGTTTAAAATGCGACATATTAGTTAAACATATTTGAAAATAAGTTTAACTAATATGTCTTTAACAAAATATGTCTGCCCTAGTGTAATCAGATTATGATATTTTGTAGTCTCTTCTTAGAGGAATAAAACGACAGAAGTGTTTCACTAATAACAAATAATAACCGACTTCAAACACTTTACACAAAGACGTCTGATATAGTTAAATAGAAATGATTGATACATAGTTCATTTTCATAGAAAAATCTTCTCTCCAACAAAAAATAAGCGATGAAGTCATCCGTGAACAAACATAAGCACAGATACAGTTTAATTCAGAACCTCCTTTTTTGAATTCGGATGCGAACAACTGATTACCAAATCCGGCAGTATAACACAATATCATATTTACGGGTTAAATAAAATTTTAATAAGAGACATTCATTAATAGGATTGTAAAGGGTAGACCCCAGGGAGCGAGTGTCAGGTTTGCCATTTCTACGTCAGCTGAAACTGGCAATTACCTTAAACGTGGACAAAATAGTTCATTTCGCTGGGGAGGACAATTTTATTATGTAAGCAATTTTTGTTCTGTGCAAATTAGACGTTCTTGCATTGATTTTGACTAAAGTACAAGCAGGTATTACTGGTTACTTTATTCTGTAGATGTCTAATATAAATATTTCTTCCTACTTAACAAACAATATATTTAAATAATTATCTTCTCTTAAGCAATTTATACTATATAGTTATTGTCTGTAAGTTCCGTAAGTAGTAAACATTTAAATAAATCACCTTTAATAGTTTATTACGCGAAATGTAACATTTATTTTTACTAAGACCCGACGTTTCGCGTGCTTTGCAGTAGCTGTGGTGATCACGTCTCCCCGTGATAGACGCAAGTGTTATATTTAAAAAATAGTTCAGTTGAAGTAATGGATATTTTTGACAAATAAATAGTAGTAGTTTAAGAATCAAATAAACATTTGATTCATTTTGTTTTTATGTAGTACGACAGACGTTATTGTTTATCTTCTTTGTATATTACGTAAGAGGTAGATATTAACTTCTTTTAATTTTATAAAACTTGATATATATCAGTATTTTTTTTAACTATACCCAACGTTTCAAATTCACAGCTGCCATCACTGCTATATTTCGCATTTTAAACCGTTAATATATTATTTTACAGATTTTATTTAAATCGTAAGGTTGAACATACGCTGGTATACAAGTTATCCGATGCCGTGACTTCTCGTGACAAATCGTCTGGACATTCTGTTTAAGGCGCTTAATTCGTAGTCTCTAACTCATTTATCTTATCATGATAACGAAGGTTTGTTACGCGATAGGCCATTTGACTCCAGTTTTAGTAACAAATTACAATAATCAGTTAGCGAATGTAACACGAACGTTGTGATAGGTGAAATTTTCAACCTGTGTCAAGTGAATATTGTTTTTATGATAAAGACAAACACGGGGTTGATGGAAGGTATGAACTACCCTAGACATATAACGTCTCGGTAAGATGTGCTATCGAAATCTTTGCTTTGGATTATCAACTATTAAAACAAATATATATGTTATATAACTTTACACTTATAACGAGAAGAATTAAAAATATTAACATATATTTTTAGAAAGTACGGCTTATTAAGTATTGATATATAGTCTGATAAGGGATTACTAGAATTAATATCGCTAAATTAGACGCATTGATTATAATTGTTTATATATTTAATTATTTAGTGGTTGTAATATGAAAAAATAGTATTATAAATATATTTATTGGTTTGCAGTTAATATTATACTTAATTTAAATAAACTTTTGTCTTACGGACGCTGAGAAAGAGTCATAAGTTATACTCGCGACACAAATTTTTCGAACGTGGCGAGCAAACAGCGCGTCCGGCTAACAAACGGTATTACCGCCCCCTCGTTAACGAGACTCGGTTACTCGCAGTCATTTTGTTGTGAAAAATACAACAATTTAATTTAGTCTAACTTGACCACGAGCAAACACCGAACGGCCGTAGCGACACACATCAATTACGTACTACAACCGCTACGTCCCACGGCGCGCGGCTCGTAACTTACTCTAACGCAATTCATAATGCTGATGACATTTTGTACTACGCTATTACTAACGGTTCAATTCTTCATATAAACTATTCAATTCCGTAATTCGTTCCGTGCTGTTGCTCTACCAATTGAGCTTCCGAGTCGGAACGCAGACGATGCCGGTTCAAGTCCTGCCCGAGTAGAAATTTTTTTCAATTTATTTTCGATTTTCAAATTATATAGTGCCTTCATGTGCAATAACATGTAAATTTTTTTAAATGTTTTCAAAAATTAAAGTACTAGACAAATGTGCGTTCGAAAATTCTTCGTAGAATGTCGAAGTTTTATACGCGCTCACATTTTTTAATGACAGTGTTTGGACAGACTAGGAAGAGGTTTACTTGATGGTAGGTGAAATAATTTAAACTGTTTACCTATAGATTTACAGACTAAAACCTAAACTCTTTCATCTGACGACGGAGGTTATTCGCAACCCGAACGGAATTTCGATATTCCACCATTTAAAATCCAGATATGAGAAGTCCAATGTTTCTGAAAAATTTTCGACCCGGTGGGAAACGAACCCACCACCCATTGCTACCATTTGACCAACTAGCCCGTCAACGTTTCATATAAACATTTCAACTAAAGAACGAGAACATACTTAAAACATCGAAGTTTTATACGCGCTCACATATTGTGTAGCTCAATAATCTCTGTGCCTATAAACGTTGGTGGCACTTATTTCATTAACCAACCCGAGGAACATTAATCAATTTTTACTGGGAGGAATTATTTTGGGCTACGTAGGTAACAACTCACAAAGGCCACCCCCTGGCTACGCCGCTGACGTTGCATTTCATTTTTGTCCGCCCACAGACTGTTTTACTTGTTCTTTGTCTTTCTGAATAAATCCGTTTCAAGCCTCAATTTTATTAATGCTGTTGCGCTGCAGAATTTACTGCTGTATAATTTCTCCTACTTTTTACTTTTTTTTAATTCGAATTTTATTCTCTATCGTTATTAAAATATATCTTTGACGTCGTCGCTTAGCATTCCTAATGTTTCACAGAGCGAATACGCTATCTAAGAAATGTAGCTGTGTATCTGTAGAGTT